AAATTGAGTACAGTGTTGGTTCTGTTTCTAATCCCAGTTAGAATATAGTAAGCAAAATCATGTGGTAAAAGCCACAAGGCTCATGGATAAAATGTTAGGGGCATGACACTTAAAAATGTTATAGATAACAGTTTGAAAATGCCCACTTAGATGTAGAGGGTGAACTTGTAGATACCCTCAAGTAGTTTACAATTGTGTATGTAATGAAAAACTGATTTTTGCTTTGTTAGTAATCTCAAAAAAGGGGCCCCTGATAAAAGACAGAGGTTGGAGCAGGGTAGGTGTTACTGAATTATTTCCCAGTGTTAAAAAACTTACTTTGAGTAAAATGAATAAAGTTAAGTACAGTCACATACAAGATGTGCTAAAAGAGCCTCAGTTGGCATTGTAGTCTGTACATTGCAGTTTTGTGTTTCAGAGATTCTAAGTGGCGGAAAACCTGATTGCTGTAGATAAGATAAGTTGGGGGTCTGTATAGATAGTAACTGGGCCACTTTTTCCACATCAGATTACCACTCTTTTTCTAAGAATGTTGTTTAATTTATTACGTAAAATTTTACTGTACATAGCTCAATTGTTGTCTTACAAAATCTATAGTAAGACCTTACATTGCTTCACAGTGAGCATAAATTATTATTGAACCTAAAAGTGGAAAAGGTCCTAGTTAGTGGAATTTTGTTGACAGAATGTCAAATATAGTTTACTGTGGCATAACTCTGGGATTTGCTGTTTGAGCCCCAATAGATCTGTTGGTAATCAGATCAATTCGATGTTATTTAATTCCTTCTTAAAAGTATGAACTGTTGTACTCGTTCTGTAAGATGAGTGGTTTTCTTGAGACATAATCTTGTTCCCACTTAAATCCATCCTCTACTTTTATGTACTTTTGTACTTTTTAGTAACTAGTTTTCTAAACATAATCTATAGTACTTTCTGTTATGCAAGGACTAAGCCCAGTTGTTCCTGGGATTCAGTTCTGGGATTGCTTTTAACCAAGTAGAATCACAAAATGCAATTTAAAGAGTTACTCTGTTTTCTTTAAAAACAAATGCTGTTTAATAAATTTTGAAATTTGTTACTGTGTTTTGTTCTTACCCTCCATTCTTTCTGAGTTGGTAATATATTGACCATGGTCTTTTTATGTGATCTTATTTGTCAAGTCCTCTTATAGTGTTTACCCCATTTAATCTTCTTAACAACTCTGTCTGCATGAGATGTACTGTTAACTACCAAATAGATGAGGAAACTGAGGCTCAGAGAACTGTATAGTAGTTGCTCAAAAATATAGTTAAGTGAGTGCTGCAGTAGGAATTTGAGCCTTTTATTTCTAGACTTGAAGAGGTCACTCAATACTTCACTCTTTTTCTATGAAACAATAGTATAAAACTAGAAGGTGTTTCATGGTTAACTATGTATGAGTAGTAGCTGGAAGGATTATATTTCCTATTCAGATTTTGCCTTTTTAGGGGAAAAAATTGAAACTTACTGTAGATGAGACTTGTTCCATTTGATTTGGATTTTATTTTTCTTCCCATAATTGATGCTGTGGGTTTGTTGTATAATCAATGCAGTGTAGTCAGACACCTACTCATCTTTTCATTGTATCAAAATCCACTAGAACTTGAGAGCATATGAAAACCATTCCAAAAATTTTCTGTACCTAAAAGCTTATTCTAGAATGTGTTCTGACTAAATCTTATAATTAGGCCACATGATATGTTTAATCTGTATGTACTTTAGAAAGACTATCTGATTTTGAGGGTGAACTGAAGATGAGGAAATGAATGTGTATCTCTGATAGTGTGTGCTGAGAGTGATTTTCAAGCTATTTTGGGATGTGATCTTGGAGGTCCTCTGGCAGCTTTTTATAGCTTTGAAAAGAATTGCTACTATTTTGTGTAACCAGGGAGCAGTGTTTTGGGGCTCTTGAACCCCAGCTTTCTGTTTTTTTTCCAGTATCCCTCTTTATGGCTTTCTAAAAATAGGAAGACCTGAGGCAAAATGAAGTAAGGATGGAAGTGAAGAGAGATCAGAATTCCAGGAATTTTACCATTCAATTCTATTCTCATTTATTTACATCTGCTGTTCATCCTTAATATCTGTTATCCTAAAAATGAAGATCAGCCTCTTTTGTTCTAGAGTAGTTAGGTTTTGGAAGACTTCCCAAGATGGGTATTGCCTCTTGAGAACATTTCATTGAAAGTAGTTTACAGTGTTTCAGCTTCTGATTTGCCTTTGCCATGACTAAAACAGAATAAAATGGAACAAAAAACAAGTCTCAAATTCAAGTACTGAAGTCATTACTTTAAATGGCTATGGGTTTAACATTTTGGGGAAGGATGATTTTTTATCTGCATTTTACGACTATTTCAGTATATGACTGTGCTTACAAATCTTTTTTTTAGTACTGTAGGCTGTAGAATGAAATGGTGTAAGATGTATAATTTTTCTTGAGTGAAGGCAGTATAAATACAACATTCTTTTTCATTGTTTTTCATACCTAAAAGCTTAGACATAGCAGTATTCTAAATGTTTTTGACTACCCATACCTATTCAAAATGTTGAAAATATATTATTAATATATAAAGTTGCACACACTATTGTCAGTTTGTATATAGAATATTACATTTTTCTGACTAAAAATAATTTATAAATAGAAGTTAGATTATATTATTCCACATCTGAATGGATCCTTTTGTTTTCTTTCTGTGATATGCATATCCTGCTTAAGTAACAACACTGCTTTAATGTTAAAGGTGAAATTCTGTAGTTTATTCCTAATTCTTTGTAACATCACATAAATTCATAGTTCAAGTTTTTATTGCTTATCTCTGGTGCCAGGAACTGTTCCAAATGCAGAGTATATAGTAGTAAATAAAACATGCAAATCTATCCTTTTATGGCATTCCATTCTGAGCAAAGTGAGATAGGTAGTGTGTCAGTGCTGTGGAGGTACAATAGGGGAGTGGGGCTAAGGAGGGTGTGGGATAGGGTGGAATGCCGTCTGTAGTTTCAATTATGGAGGCTTCATTGAGAAAACACACTTGAATAAAGGTGTTAGGATCTTAGGGAGCGAGCCATATAGAAAATTGGTGTAAGAGCAAGTGCAAAGCCCCTGAGGGTGGAGTATGTCAGGTTGAAGAACTCTGAAGAAGATAGCTAGTCAGGCTGAAACAAAGTGGGTGGGTGGGACTAGGATGGCAGAAGCATAGCTGAAGGTGGGTAAAAGGTAGGTGGAGTAAGGGGGTCATATAAAGCCTCTTTTGAGGGAGCTATATTATAAGGACTTGGGCTTTGAAAATGTCTGCAGGATGCAGATCCTGGAGTGAGGTAGCAAGGTCAGAAGCTGGGAGAAAAGCTAGGGGCTGTTGCAGTATGCCAGGTGAGAGCAATTGTGACTTGGGTCAGAAGTGTAGCAGTCCAGTCATGGGTAGAAAGAAGATGGGTAGTTTAAGCAACAATTTCCTGATCAGGTTAGATGTGCAGGATATGAAGGAAAAGGTGGATCATTTGGAAGGATGGATTTATATAGTTAAATGACATGAGGAATGCTTTGGGAAAGGAGCAGGTTGAGAGTGGGGAGGGTTATGCTAAGTGTAGGGTGCTTATTAGACATTCAAGAGATGCTGATGAGCAGGCAGTTAAAGATAGAAGATGCATGATAATAGGGGAAAGATCTGTTCTGGGTATGAATTTGGGCAGATGTTAGCATATACAGAATGTATTTAGTGTTTAAATGCACTGGACTCGATGTGATCACAGTGGAAGGGTGTATAAAGAGAAGATGCCCTAAAACAGAGCCCTGGTGCACTTCAGTGTTGGGGTGTTGGGGAGTTACAGAGGAACCAGCAAAAGGTTGCTGCCAGACGAGTAGGAAGAGAGCCAGGAGAGTGGCTGCAGGAAGCTGGGTGAAGCCTTGCAAGGAAGGCGGGTAAGATGTTGCATTTAGGTTAAGTAAGATGAAGATTAAGAATTGACCATTTGATACGGGACTCATTGGTGACGTCAACAAGCAGCTTACTGGCTAGGCTTGATGGCAGAGTTGTGTTTAAGATAGAAGGGGAGGAGAGAAATGGGAGGCAAGCAAGTATAGAGAACTTTCAAAAAGCAGCAAAGCAGTGGGGGCAGTAGCTGCTGGGGGAGGGTCAGGTCACAGTCAGTTTCTTTTATTGGGAAAAATGAAAGCAAGTTTGTACAGCCTGGGCAAAGAGCTAATAAGGAGGGGGAAGCTGGTGATTCAGGAGAGGAAAAATGCTAGAGGAGTGTCCTTGAGTAGGCGAGGAGAGAAGATCTCACACTCCAGAGCAGTGGTTGGTTGGCCTTAGCCACGAGTGGCAGCCCTTTCATCCACAGTGACAGGAGACAGACAGAGCACATGGGCACAGATACCTGTAGGTGTACAAATACTGTAGAAGGAACTAAAGGAAGTTTCTATTTTCTCATGAAATAGAAAGCAGAGCCCTCAGCCAAAAGTGAGGATGAGGATGGAGGTGTTGGAGGTTTGAAGAGAGAGGAAGAAAAATGTTAGTTATTTAGGAGAGTGGGAGAAAGATGGAGAGAACTAATGATGTGACTGTTGCGGAGCAGTAAAGGATCTGTTTGAAGTTCAGGATCAGCTAAATGAGTCAGCATAGCTGTATGTGTTTCTCTAGCCGGGTTTAGGTGCCTAACTACTTGTCCTTCCTTCATTCCATTATATTTTTCAGAGGGAGATTTTCAGTGGCTTTAAAAAATTCAAACAGTTTAGTTCAGTAGAATTTCAACAGAGTAATTTTAATTTGCCTTACCTATGTGGTAATCCTAGTCTTCTTTTCTTCTTGAGCATAAAATCAACTTCATTAGTCTTCGAACTTTGTATTTTATAAGCTAAATAAACACCCATCAGGAGATTGGAGAGGTTCTGTGATGTCCAATTCCAAGAGATGAACTTTCTAATCTTTATTTTGGTGTTTAGTGAAGTGACATTTGTTTCACAAATGTGTTATGTTTTTCTGTTGTAGGAAACCCAGCGTTTGCTGGCAGAACCAGTTCCCGGCATTAAAGCAGAACCGGATGAGAGCAACGCCCGTTATTTCCATGTGGTCATTGCTGGTCCTCAGGATTCCCCCTTTGAGGGAGGGACTTTTAAACTTGAACTATTCCTTCCAGAAGAATACCCGATGGCAGCCCCTAAAGTACGTTTCATGACCAAAATTTATCATCCTAATGTAGACAAGTTGGGAAGAATATGTTTAGATATTTTGAAAGGTAAGTGTTACCTTTACTATTTTATGCTACTAAGATTTTTCCTTTTCCTCAAACTCAATATTGAGAATCTGAACACTGTAATCTTTCCCTTATGTAAAGACTACAGAGCTTTTTGGGAGGGAAATGCAGCAGTTCTGGGGCTGTTATTTCATGCTTGATCACTCTGGGCCTGTTGCCTTAATAGATAAATGGTCCCCAGCACTGCAGATCCGCACAGTTCTCCTATCGATCCAGGCTTTGTTAAGTGCTCCCAATCCAGATGATCCATTAGCAAATGATGTAGCGGAGCAGTGGAAGACCAACGAAGCCCAAGCCATAGAAACAGGTATCTAAAATTCATTCTCCTTCATACTACTACTATTTGTAAAACAAATTTTTACTATCATTTAAAAAACTTCTTGTAGGGTCTTAACAAGAAAGGTAAAATGTATTTAAAGGAACAAATCAGATCTTTTATGGTACCTAAATACCTGTTAACAAAAGATGTTCAAGTTCCATCTTATGGTCTGCTAGGTGACCCCAAATTTAAAGTCAACCTATAATAATAAATCCTCCCTTCAAGAAAAAGCTTGTGACCCCAAATTTAAAGCCGACCTATAATTCAGAGACCTGGAACTCTTCTATAACCCACATCTGATTTATCAAATGCTGAGTGTCTGCCATACATCTAGCAACACATAAAGACAGTGGAAAATTTGCAGTCTATTTGATTAAATTAAACCATGTGTCAGTTTATAGCTGGGGAATGTGAAATCAGTTGGCCTCTTCCTGTTACCAATTTTAGCAAATTTAGTAGGGAACACTATGTATATATCTAGAAATGAGGGTGACAAAAGGAGACAACTTTTCAACTTACTAAAGCTTCTGAATTCCATTGTAGTGGTTATGGTAATTAGTTGTATAGATAGATTACTATGGTAATTAGTTGTATAGATGACCAAAATTTATCATCCTAATGTAGACAAGTTGGGAAGGTTATACATCCTAATGTAGACAAGATCCAGGTTATAGGAAAAGCTTTGATTTTAAGAGATTACAGCATAACATCTCCATGATTAACTATTTACTTTTTATACAGTTTGGAAAGTAACATTTTGAACGAAGTAATAATTGTATGTTTGTTTTTGTCTCCAGCTAGAGCATGGACTAGGCTATATGCCATGAATAATATTTAAATTGATCTGATCGTCAAGTGTGCATCACTTATCCTGTTCTGCCAAGACTCTTCCTTTTTTGTTTGCATTTAATGGACACAGTCTTAGAAACATTACAGAATAAAAGCCCAGACATCTTCAGTCCTTTGGTGATTAAATGCACATTAGCAAATCTATGTCTTGTCCTGATTCACTGTTGTAAAGCATGAGCAGAGGCTAGAAGTATCATCTGGATTGTTGTGAAAAGTTTAAAAGCAGTGGCCCCTCTCTGCTTTTATTCATTTCCCGCATCATGGTTTAAGTATAAAGCACTGTGAATGAAGGTAGTTGTCAGGGTTAGCTGCAGGGGTGTGGGTGTTTTTCTTTATTTTTTGTTGGGGGTGGGTAGTTCTAATTGTAATGGGCTCCTGTCCCCCCCTTTATGGTGATCTAATTGCATTGGTTAAAAGCAGCTAACCAGTTCTTTAGAATATGCTCTCTAGCCAAGTCTAACTTTATTTAGACGCTGTAGATGGACAAGCTTGATTGTTTGAACCAAAATGGGAACATTAAACATCACAGCCCTCACTAATAACATTGTGACTTTGCTGTCAAGTGTAGAATCCTCCCTTCAAGAAAAAGCTTGTGACCATTTTGTATGGCTTGTCTGGAAACTTCTGTAAATCTTATGTTTTAGTAAAATATTTTTTGTTATTCTACTTTGCCTTTGTATAGTTTATTTTACTGTGTTGATTCATTTTAACAATGTGACAATCGTATTTAAAGATAAAACTGATGGAACATTCTGTTTTGGTCTTCACCATCTGACAAATTGAATGGCAGGAGGTGGATTCTGCCAGTTTCTTTTCACTGATGCAAATTTGTGTTAAGATATCACTGGATGGAGTATTTGTAAGCTGGCCCTGAGCATGCATCAGTATCTGACATATTTTTACCTCCTAGAAATTTGAAATAAATGTTTGTGCTGTCCGATTAGTTAGATGATCATTGGTGTCTTGACACAATGTCTGAAAATTACTGTACAGGAGGAGAGTCACAGCAAAGCAGCAGTTGTGACTTGACTTTGTGTAGGACTTTCACATGTGCCACATTTGTATCTGGCATTTGGGTTATGACCTTTTTCTTGGTTCTTGTCTGAAAACTTCATGTATGACCATTAGTATGTGCTATTAGGAAACACTTGGGGTTTGCTGAGGCATGTGTGAGTCTTCCTTATGGACCTGATGAGCATATCTCAAGCAACCAGCTTGTGTGTCATCAGAAAGATTTCTTTCTTTGAGAGCATCAGACCCTCAGTTAATGGTTCTTACTTTCATCCCTCTAGTATTTTCTGTGGAACCTCCTTTTATTTCATTTGATATTCAGCAATTTTTTCTGCATTGACAGAGTTCCTTCCCTCCACCCAACTGTTCTTTGCTACCTTTTTCCATATATAATTCTTGATTCTTGTTATTTCAAAGTCATCAGTGTAGCCATCATAAGTATGTAAATGTTAACCTGCAGGTTGGAACCTTTGTCTCGCAGGTTTTTTTTTCCTTGCAGTTTTTAAGGGAATGAATATTGTAGCCCATTTGAATTTTCCCCATTCTTCTCGTAACTTCTGGAGTTTCTTCAGAATGTGGTGTATTTTATTGTGCTCCTATGTAAGATGAAGAGTTATCTATTAAAATTACATTTTCAATATAAAAAAGTTTTAATGACTGGTAACTGGTATCCTTCCCAATAAATTCATTGCTTGGAAACAAATGTTAGTTTAATTCAGAATGAAATTGTTCATAACCCTAAATATTGTAAACTAAAACCTGTTAACAGCAGTTGCCATTTATTACACTTACTGGGCTGTTTTAGAGAGTACCTTGGAGCTAAGGAAACAATCTCATTCTGGGGCCAAAATGAATGAACATTCAAGCAGTTTAAGTAGAGATCACCTTTATTTATTGCAGGTGGCACTGCTCATGATGATACCTAAGTATTACATAGTGATTTATGTCATAAAATTTCCAGATTTAAGTCTTTTGCATTGCAAAAATGCGTTTAAAATACGACTCTAATGCCTACTGAGTTCGAGTTATAAAAGTACTGAAATGGAATAGTTGCTTTTTCATTTCAAATACATGAATTCCTAATTTCATGGCATTAGGTTTTTTTCTTTTTAGATTTTGTTAAGAGTCCTCATTGTTTTGATAGGACTTGCTTTCTCAACCAGTAGGTTGAAATGAGCCAGTATGTTCACTGAGCTTGCTTAGGATTTAAGGGCCTGTGGGAGAGGCCAAGGTAGAGTTGGAAAACCGGCAGCTACATCTGGCTTTTGGGCCAGTTTTCCTGGGCCCACACAGTGCATTTGGTTAAAACATTCTTAATTCAATGCCAACATTTTAAAAGTTGGGCAATTCACATGAAAATCCAGGATTCTGGTAACTTGAATGATCTGAAGTCTGACACCAGTGGCCATGACCCATCTTTGTACATGGCATCTGCTGGGAGGGTAGCAGCCACCCTAAGGAGAGCTGTTACTCTCTTCTTACCCAGTGACTGCAGTTGGCTAGTCTCCCACCCATCCTGCTCCATTATTGTAGTCCTGTTGCCTTGAAAGCCTTTGACTTTCTAAGCTTAAGGACACAGTTTATTTGATAAATAAGTGTTTAATATGTTCCCAACACTGTACTACTTGTTGGGGGCAATTAGGTAAATGAGACTGGCCTGGGGTTTTCCCCTGTGGACCTTGCTATCTAATGGGGGAACAGGCATGGACAAACACAACTCCTGTCACGGAGAAGGGAAGTAAGTACTTAGGAGAGGGGCTGCTCTTCTGGATTTAAGCCAGATGCACACCTCCAGGCAGGGGAAGAGATGTGCAAAGCCCTGGGAGAGAGGGAAAGAATCTGAATATACTGATGGATATGTGGCTTCGTGAAAATCGGCTTTGCCCACTCAGAGCTGAGTTTTTCGGAAATTCTGACCTGTTAGGAGCTTTATGTTTTCTATTTGTTTTTTTATTTTACTATAGTCCACTTGGCTGTGATGTGCTTCCGCATTTGTTTATCTTGGTCCTCTCAGAGACTGCCTAATAAGATCTTGGATCTGGAATATGTAGAACTTAAGCCCTCATCTAGATAAAAAACATACTTTAATACAAAATTTCAGAAGCATTTGAGATTAAATACAGATCTATATATAAAAGGTATAGGTGCTATGTATGGTCTAGCACTGTTAAAGAACAGTGCAGGGAAGGGAATACAGTATAGTACAAGACAAACTTCCTAGCTAAATGGAACTAAATGGTGTTATGGGAATGATAGGAACTAGTTTTGTTTTTATGTTTAATGGTTCAAGAATCTTTTTTGGCTATTCTAGCCACATCAGTTTTTTTGTTAGTTGCAGTAGAATAGAGTCCTATCTAGAAAAGCTAGCCAAAGAAGATAAAATGCCATTATAGGACAACATCTAGTTCATCAGTCTATTTAAGAACAATGTAATATTTCATTGGAATAATGTATTTTGGGGCTGGGGACATTTCATTTTAGCTATTTAGCATGCCGCTTAGTTTAAGGAATTATATCAGGGGTTTATTTTTTAAATGATTTCATGATCACAAAAGCAAAACATGTTCAATGTAATAACTTGAAATATAAAGAATAAAAATCTGTAATCTGCCACCCAGACTGGTGATACTTTGTCTCCTTAACTATACCCCTTGCATTAATTTCCATTTTTATCATTGAGGTTGGAAATTGGATGTGTTCCAAGAGTAGCTTTGCTACTACATCTTTTTATTACAGACAGGACATTGGCTACAAAACTGGGAGTTGGCCAAGAATTTTCCTTATTAAGTATAGAACTCAACATGAAGAGTTTTGGTCCTCCATCCTACCCTCCACCCCCCGATTTCATCTTAGCCACTCCAGCCGATCTCATTGCACATGTGCCTGTTACTGTGGGGGTGTGCCAAAGGTATGAATGTAGACTTGCTACTGAGCTGAGTTTCTACTACTGACTTGATGTAATTGTTTCAGTTGCCAATTGGTTGTGAAGAAGCATATCCATATTGACTGAATATTTAGACCTTGCTTTCTGCTTTTGTAACAGCAACAACTGAAATTCCATTGTTGTGTAAAAGTACATTTTAGTGTTCATTAGAACTTTAACATTTCTCTGCTAATCATTGTATCTATGGGACAAAAAATGTTTTAGAAGTTAGAGAATATTATTGATAGCCTCATTTTCCTACTTTGTAACTTTCTTTTTACATACTCCCAATCCATTTTCACCTGCCACATGACTCCTTTTGAGGTAGTTCCATGATCTAGATTAGTCAAATCCTAATAATTAAGTTTCATTATAACGTAGCAATTTACAAAGTATTTTGGCTTAAGTTCAAAAGTAGACTACTCAAGACTTACTCAGAAGTGTCAAAAGCAGCTTAGATATGATAGATGGTTGCATTAGATTTGAACTTGGTTTTGGCAGGAAGCATTATTTAAGTTTCATTATAACGTAGCAATTTACAAAGTATTTTGGCTTAAGTTCAAAAGTAGACTACTCAAGACTTACTCAGAAGTGTCAAAAGCAGCTTAGATATGATAGATGGTTGCATTAGATTTGAACTTGGTTTTGGCAGGAAGCATTAGAACTTTGAGTAACTAAAGGAGTAGGGCCAGATTATTGCAATCGTATTTTTTCCCTCTAAGACAGTAAATATTTGGGGCTTTGCAGGCCATGTGTCTGTCTGAAATACTTGGTTCTGCCGTTGTGAGAAAGCATCCAGACAATCTTGCTAACAAATAGCATGCTGTGTTGATGTCACATGTCACGAAGTATTTTTTTTTCAAGCACTGAAAATGTAAAAAATAAGCTTGTGGGCTGTACAAAAACAGGCTGGGGTTAGGTTTGGCCTGCTTCTAGGCTCAGCTCACCCCTCCTGCCTTGGCAGTGAATGACTACTACTCACTGCCTGTGTTACAAAGTGTGCCCCTCCCACTTTTAAGACGTGATACTTCATTATTCCAGTAACAATTGGAGAAAAGATGTGTGGTGTGGGTTTCCTTTTCCTCTCTGATGCTAATATATACATACTATGATAAAAGGTATAGATTGAGCATTTGTTCAAGCCCAATTCTTTCATGTAAGATCACTTGACACTTTTACATTGAAAACTCAGAATGTTCATTTTAAAAGTACAGAAATTTAAGGAAAATCTGAAATCTGTGTAGTGACCTTTGACAGGTTGTGCTGTGCAGTGTTCTTTTTTTGGTGTTACTGAAAGTATGTGGACCTCCACCTATGTCAGTACATTTCTTTGGTAGCAGTATTATTATATATATTAGATAACCATAATTTAATCATCCTGTCCATTTAAAATGGCCAGTTTTAGAAATTTTGTAATATACATCTTTAGCCATATTTTGATTGTACAACTTTGAAGTATTTTGTTGACTAGATTCCCACAAGTGGAATTGTTGGGTGAAAGGGTTATGTGCATTTTAAATTTTGATAGGTAATCAGTTGCTCTTCAAAAGGCTGTACCAATTTACATGCATAGGTCCTTACCTGAATGTCATTTTTTATGTATAATATCCCATTATATGAACATATTGCTAATTAACCATTACCGCCATAGGCCTGGGCATATTATTTCTGTCTCACCACTGTAGTTGCCGTATCTTGGTATGTAAGTCTTTGTCCCCATTGCTGGAGACTAGATTCCTGGTGTAACTGATCCAGGGCTGTTTATATTTGAGGTTCCTGATATACATTGATAGCCAATACTTTTATTAGTATTCTTTTTATCTAAGAAATTTCAGTATATTTGAGAAAAGCAGGAAGACTTACAATACTTAATGTCTGTCACTGGTGGACAATAACCAGGAAATGTGATAACCGGAGAGTAATATTCCACACAGTGGAAAGGATGAGTTGAAATCACATGAAAGTAGGGGAATTTAAAGCTAGTTTCTGGCAAAAAGACATGGGGCCTTTGAGTAAATTTAAGTCTTTGCTTTAATGCAGTGCTAACAGATATATCTTGGAGGCCTTTGCATCTTACTACCAGAATTTAGCCAATGGCACCAGTCAGGAAGGTGTTAAAAAATACAGCACCAGGGATGAGATCACTCTCTAACATGTTTGCTCTACAGCTCTGTTGCTAAGTATTTGGCGGGGGATCACATTTAAGAAAAATTTTTTGCTTTGAAGATGGTACATAAAAGTCTGTAAAAAAAAAAAAAGCTGTAACCCTTTGAAAGACTAGGAGCCTCTCATGTATAAGCACCTAGATGAAATCACTTTACTCCACTAGAATGTAAGTTCGAGGTTCCGAAACTTGTTCTACACTGTAGCCCAATGCTGGGGAAAAAGTTATCACTAATTTCATTAAACATGATACTTGAATAAACTCAGTGTTTTAACTAGTCTTGTGTTATTTTGTCTACACGATTCCTGCCTGTAGGGGAATTCTTTATTTCAGTGTGAAGACAGTACTGGAACATGCCAGGCTTTCTCTTCTCTTTCAATTTAGCAATCAAACCAAATGTAACTGGAATATAACTTTTATATGAGGATTTTAAAGTTGGTCTCTTGGGTCAGAGTACTTTGTACTTTGTGAAAATACAATGGCAGGCAGGTGCTGAGCCTGCTAAAACCTTTAAACTGAACAGCAGTAAAGTGGATGGCAGTTTATAAAGCACCTATGACATAACTACACAAGGCTTACTACTTGAAAATTAGTAATTAGAACACAAAACCCAACTAGGAACAGTGATATGAACCACAGTGGTACACCTTTAGACTAGAATCTAGGAAGACAGAAAATAAATCCATGGGGAGAGTGATGGCAGCACCTATCTAGTGAGCAACTCCTTTTAACACAGTTACTTCCACTAGTAAGGCTCATAAATGAGAAAACAGGAAAACTGTTACTGTGGAATGCCAGACAAGTTTTCACTTGGACAAACTGGTGGTCAGTTATGTTTAAAAAAATAAAACAAGATAAGTTGTTTCCATTTTTATTTGATGTTTCAAATATAAAAAAATGTCAAGATTCTTACACCAATTATCTCAAACGAAACCATGCGAAGCAATTTAAGTGTATACAACAATCATCCCTCCCTTCAGTTTTGCTGCTTTATACAATTGTGTGATCGACAGAAAATTGAATGGCACTTGCCTGGTTGGAAATTTTCACTTGTTCACAAACAAAACCAAACCACCGAACATGCAGGATAGTGCTGTCGCATCTGCAAGTCAATTTACAAACTAGTTATCTTCATTTTAGGAGGCACATGGGACAAAAGTTTAGCTGCGCAATTTTATCCAACTATTCCACAGAAAGCACAAGAGTCCCAACTCTCTAAACTTTGGAGGGTTGAGATAGTAGACACTGTTTGTTAGATTGAGCTGTGAAGACTGAAAATGGAGGCTTTCTCTCTTAAAGAAATCTGCTTAGGACCTTTCTTGTAATTGTTAAGACTGGGTTCCAAAATAATGAAGACCTACCTGTGTGAAATTTAATGTGTGACAACCATGAAGTATTCTGTCGTGTTACACGAGTTTTTGCTAGTTGCATAGACTGAAGACAGTTAGTTGGTTTGCTAAATGGCACTGAAGAAAATCCTGACCCTGGTGGCACTACTTAGTCCAAATGTTTCTGACCAAAGAAAATCATGACATTTTCTAGGCTCACTTTCAGGAGATGGTTGATATTAATACTGTACATATTTTACATGTCAGATACATAGTTCAATACTTTATATAAAATAAGTTCATGCATTATTACCTCTAATACCATGTACAAGATAACCCCCCACCACCCCCATACTTGTGACAGCATTTCAGGTGGATGCAGTCTTATATACAAAAATCCAGTTTCTCTGTATGTTAAGTATATAATTTAAAGACATTGTATAGAGATTACTGAGAAAAATTTTAGTCCAAGATTGATAGAAAGTTTGTCAATCTGTGGGATTTAAAATGTTTCCTTAGAAAAAAAAAAAAAAAACACCTGGAATACATAAACTCTGTATAAAGAAAAATACAAAAATTCTGGATAATCATGTTTGATCACATTACACAATTTAGAATGTCATTGGTTAAGTTTTTAAAAATTTTACCCCTTTGACAGCATTAATTTGTGAACTAAGTATTTAGTTCAGCTGCATTTATGGTACAAGATTTCATTTTCAAAACTGGCACCAATTTTCCTTAAATGTAACAGCACTGTATTTTTAGCAGCATTATATTTTTCAAAGGTTGACCATCTGTAGAACAAATGTATAACTACTTATTTTTCTACTTTATACTCACCAGTTACAATATTTACAAGTCTAGTGTCTACATACAAGATGACGTTTCGCTCATTCCCCACCCAGCCACATCTTGCTTTTCCTCCCACCTCATTTTGGACTTGATTGGGCAAAGTACAGGAGTTTCAGATAAGGTGTGTTTAGATGGAATTCTTGATTTTAAGTGAGTTTTAAGAATAAGACAAAATAATTCTTAGTTCAGGTATGTTCCAGTGCCCCAAAAGTTTCTTATAAATAGTACCTATTGACGACTTATAAATGATGAGACATTCTAAGGGGCCCCAACAATCTACGTAACAGCTGAACAGGAAGAAGGCCACTTTATTCAATTTTAATGTAGTGACTGGCTGGCATTTGAG